ACTATGCCTACTTACATGCCTCCAGTTTTCATCCAGACCACACCACATGATCCATTGTCTACAGCCAAGCTCTACGATACAACCGCATTTGCTCCAACCCCTCAGACAGAGACAAACACCTACAAGATCTCTATCAAGCGTTCTTACAACTACAATACCCACCTGCTGAAGTGAAGAAACAGATTGACAGAGCCAGAAGAGTACCCAGAAGTTACCTACTACAGGACAAAGAAACAAAGAAAATAACGCCACTAGCCATCACTTTCAGCCCCCAACTAAAACCTCTCCAACGCATCATCAAGGACCTATCCTGAAGAACGACCCATCATTCTCACAGATCTTGGGAGACAGGCCAGTCCTTGCTTACAGACAGCTCCTCAACCTGAAGCAAATACTCACCAGCAACCACACACCACACAACAGAACCACTAACCCAGGAACCTATCCTTGCAACAAAGCCCGTTGACAACTGTGTCCACATATCTATTCAGGGGACACCATCATAGGGCCTAATCACTTCAGCCACACTATCAGAGGCTCGCTCACCTGCACATCTACCAATGTGATATATGCCATCATGCGCCGGAAATGCCCCTCTGCCATGTACATTGGCCAAACTGGACAGTCTCTACGTAAGAGAATAAATGGACACAAATCAGACATCAAGAATTATAACATTCAAAAACCAGTCGGAGAACACTTCAGTCTCTTTGGTCACTCGATTACAGACCTAAAAGTGGCAACTGCCCACCTTGATTATCACTACAAAAGGCTTTTTTCCCCTCCGCTCTCCTGCTGGTAATAGCTCACCTTACCTGATCACTCTCGTTACAGTGTGTATGGTAACACCCACTATTTCATGTTCTCTGTGTATATAAATCTCCCCACTGTATTTTCCACTGAATGCATCCGATGAAGTGAGTTGTAGCTCATGAAAGCTTATGCTCAAATAAATTTGTTAGTCTCTAAGGTGCAATGAAGTACTCCTTTTCTTTTTGCGGATACAGACTAACATGGCTGCTACTCTGAAAACTATTCCCAGTTTTTCAACTCAAGGATATATCCTTTTGAGGATGGATTCTTTTATAAAATACACTGTTAAGGAAATGTATTGTATCTGTTGAACTTTACTTAGCTAGGATACTCTACAAGGAAATTCAATTTAAAACAAAAATCGTCTTGCCTCTCCCAATTTCTCTCTTACATCTCCCCCATCTTTCTCCCTTTTCTCTGCCTCTTTCACTGGAAGGTCTAGATATGAAAGATGACTCTGGATCCAGCCAGAATATAACTGGGTGGATCAGTCAAAGCAGGAGGGCAATGTAGGAGCATAGGAACTAGGGTACAACCCCAAATTTTAGTATGGCAGCACAACAGAGTATCACTACCCCACCTAATAAGTGGAACTTTTCACTCTGCAGTGCTGAATCAAAAATAATAGCATTTGAGGGTCCACAACCTGAATTTCAGCTGGAAAGCATAACATAGTTTTGATTCTGGGCCAGACTTTGGAAAGTTGATGATGCCAGGAGAACGGCATACTTACAGAATGGCTTACAATCTCAAGAACATCATAAGTTTTAAGGGTCAGAACCTAAAGCCAACGATTAAGGTTTTCTTATGCCCTGCCTTTCAAAGGAGCACAACTACGTCTGCTTCCAAAAGTACTAACTAAAATCTGCACAGACATTACTATTGGCCCTGTATGTGCATGTAGTGAGGACTGTACAAAAACCCTGAAAGCTTAACACACCACCACATAGATATTACGAACACATATATACATACACACACACATATATTATACACTTATGTACACTTCAACCCTCAAAAATGCAAGAGCTCCCAATTTCTGAGATGCCAAAGAATATTCATGTAGATTATTTCACTATATGCAATGTGTATAACACTGATCTTTTGTTTTTATTGCTTCCTAGTAACTACAAAATTTCCAATACTAATTCCAGTTTCTTCCAAGAGATGTAAACTTAATTAACTGCACACCATATAAAATACAAGTTACTAGACCATCACACTCTAATTACAGCTGGAATCCAAATATAACAGTATTGGATATCAAGTTTCATTCATATAAAGCACAGCAGTCTTCTATCTAGGTCCTGCAGATCTCTAAGGGCAGGTCTACACTACTGCTTAAGTTGATCTAACTTTCATCGCTCAGGGGTTGAAAAAGGCCCCCGCCATGAGCAACACAAGTTTCACACTGTCCACACTGGCGCTAGGTCAGCGGCCAACATAGCTTCCGCTTCTTGCTGAGGTGGAATAAGTATGTCGATGGGAGAGGGTTCTTCCGTCAGCATAGTGCATCTTCACCAGATGCGCTACAGCTGTGCAGATGTAGCACTGTAGTGTAGACTGGCCCTAAAATATTTACCTACAGTTATGACACTGTGCTGAGATAATTCATTGTGATAAATGACTCAGATGATGAAGTTCTGAAGCAGCTTATTCACCTTACCTAATTTAGCCACATAACCAATTTTTTTCTGGTTGCTCTTTTGTTCTATATTGTTTTTATTGCAAATAGGAAAAAGACTAAATCAATCAGTAATTTTTGGCTCATCATTTTGTATTGTAATTGCCATAAACCATAAGGCACAGAGAGGTCACATCCTGGAAATGTCATAATCAATCAAAAACACATACGCACGTACCTCTAAATAAATGTTCTAAATATATTTTAGATGGGATATATTCATCACATTGGCAGATCCAATGTTTCTACTTACTGTAATCTAAATAGCCTTTAAAATAGCATGTAATAAGGGAATTATTAGACCGACTGACCATTGCTCTGACCACATCATCCACCCCCCCTACCAGCTCCGGCTATCATGCTTCACTGCAAGAAGATCAAGCTTCCTGTCATCACCCTCTCAACTGTACCCTCATATCCCTCTTGCATACTCTGGTCTCTTAATGCATTTCCTCCTACCAACAAAGCAAGGCTTATCTGCCTATTTCTCAAATTCTCATCTTTGTGCCTTCATCCACACTACTCCTTTACACAGAATGCCCTCATCTTCTTCATCTCTGTGTGTCATTTGTCTTCTCAGAGTGCAAATTTTTGGGGGCAGGGGCTGAATTTTCAAGTATGTACAATAGGAATGTGCCCAGCACAATATGGTCCCAATCCTGCTGTGGGGCTCTGTGTGTGAATGTAATATAAATATTAAATAAAGAAATACATAATATACCCAAGATTAAAACAGAGATTTTACTTTTTCTATACTGAACCAATGTTTTCTGTAAGCTATGTTGTATTTTATAGATTATGGGGGAGAGATACTCCTGTGACCACTTTACAGGTGGAAAAGAGAGAGCTGAGAATGTATACAGGCACAGAACCTTCTGTAATTTTGAGTTCTGAAATGTTCAGATCCCTGATTGATGCATAAGCAGGGTCAATGCTAGCAATTATGTAGCTTGTCCGCATGGTACACAACACCTACAATGGGGATCTGCAGAGGCAATGAATAAGAAACAGTTACCTACCTTTCTGTAATTGTTCTTCGAGATGGGTTGCACATGTCCATTCCCCTGTAGGTATGTGTGGGAGCCCCATGCACAGTTGTCAAAGATCTTTTTCCCCTCAGCAGTACCCATCAGGGCAGCTTGAGTGCCCTCTGCCATTGCATGACACTATGTGCAGGCATAAGAGGGCAGAGCCACCCTAATCCACCTCAGTTCCTCTTACTGGGACAGATTTTGATAGAGAGGGGAAAGAGAGTGGGTCCTGGAATGACATGTCCACACATCTCAAAGAACAGCTGTTAGAGACAGGTGGGCAGTTTCTTCTTCGATTGCACGTCCATTCTGCTGGACGTGGGCTCAGAGTCTACAGGAACAGATTGGAAAACAACACATCCAACAGTGACATGGCTTCTGGACTGCTTGACTACAGCATAATGAGAAGCTAACACGTGCACTGATGACCAAGTTATCCAGAATAGGTAGTTGCGCTTGGAAAGCTACTGATGCTGCATATGCTCTAGTGAAATGGGCCAATACTCTAGCTGGTGGCATCACATTAGCCAACTGGCAACACAAACAAATGCACAAAGAAACCCAGGGTGAAAACCTCTGAATGGAAACTGGGTGTCCTTTCATTCTATCCACAACCGCGACAAACAACTGCGTTGAGGAATCATAGAATCATAGAATATCAGGGTTGGAAGGGACCCCAGAAGGTCATCTAGTCCAACCCCCTGCTCGAAGCAGGACCAATTCCCAGTTAAATCATCCCAGCCAGGGCTTTGTTAAGCCTGACCTTAAAAACCTCTAAGGAAGGAGATTCTACCACCTCCCTAGGTAACGCATTCCAGTGTTTCACCACCCTCATAGTGAAACACTATGTTTTTCCTAATATCCAATCTAAACCTCCCCCCCCCCTGCAACTTGAGACCATTACTCCTCGTTCTGTCATCTGCTACCATTGAGAACAGTCTAGAGCCATCCTCTTTGGAACCCCCTTTCAGGTAGTTGAAAGCAGCTATCAAATCCCCCCTCATTCTTCTCTTCTGCAGACTAAACAATCCCAGCTCCAAAGGAACCAAAGGACTTCATGGAAAAAAAGCCAAAGCTCTTCTAACACCTAATGAATGAAGTTTCTCCTCATCTCTATGAGTGTGAAGTTTCAGAAAGAAAGTCAGCAAATAAATTGCCTGGTTAATGTTAAAATTGGAGACCACCTTTATTAAGAACTTTGGGTGAGGGTGGAGGTAAACATTATCCTTACGGAAAACTGTATAGGGAGGCTCTGGTACCAGAGTTCAACTCACCCACTTTCCTCAAAGGTAATCACAGTCAAAAAGTCCACATTTACAGAGAGGTAGAGAAAGGGAGCAAGTTGCAAGAGGTTCAGAAGTGGCCCCATTAATTTTGGGAACACCAAAATCAGATCCCATAGGGGAATAGGATCTTTCACCTAAGAGTATAATCTGTCCAAACCCTTTAGAAATCTGATGGTGATAGGGTTGGAAAAAAAGATCTATTATCTACCAAGGGGTGGAAAGCTGAGATAGCTTCCAGAGGTACTCTGATAGAGCTAACTGATAGACTTTGATGTTTTAGGTGTAAAAGACCACCCAATACATGACTGATAAGAGCTTACTTGGAGGGAACATTTTTGTCGGGACCGGATGAAAAAACATTTCTATTAGCCAGATAAGTACCCCTTCTTGAAGCTTTATACTATTCAGAAGTACTTTCTGTATGTTCTTAGAGCAAGCCCTTTCCAATGGTGTTAACCATGAAGCATCCACTCTGTCAAATGGAGTGCTTGTAGGCTGGGGTGAAGCAGATGCCAATGGCCCTGGGTAATCATGCATAGATCCAATGGGAGAGATAATGGAGGTCTGACTGACAAGATTGGCAGGGTTGAGTACCAGTGTTGCTGAGGCCATGCTGGTGCTATAAGTATGAGGTGAGCCCGGTCATTGACAAGACTCTGAGCAGTAATGGAATCAGAGGTAAGGCATATAAAAGTAATTCTTCCAGGATAGCAGGAATGTGTCTGTCAATGAACCTGGATTGTAAACATTACTGATGGCATTTTCCGTTGGCCTGTGTTGCAAATAGGTCCACCTGGGGTGTCCCTCACAGCTGGTACATGAATCTGGCCATGTCTGGAGACATGGAACTCTGATGGTGATTAGGGAAGAACCTGCTCAGCTGATCTGCCAACAAATTCTGCACTCCTGGAAGGTAAGCAGCTCTGAAGTGAACCAAATTGGCTATGCAAAAGTCCCACAGGTGAATCACCTTCTGGCACAGCTGTGTCAAATGCATCCCTCCCCCTACATGGTTTCATAAAATATAATTACTGTGCTGTCTGTTATTACTAGCAGATTTTTTCCCCTTGATATGCAAAAGGAAGGCTGAACAGACTAGATGAGCAGCTCACAACTCTGACATTTATGAGAGTCTCTTCAGTTCTTGGGAAGACCACAGACCTTGAGTCTACAGTGACCCATGTGTACCCCACACCCAAGGGTGATGCATCTGTGATTAAAGTGAGCACTGGTTGTAAGGAAACGACGAAAACCCTGTAACAGAGTCTTTGGTGGTTCCTCTCTCCCTCAGGGTGTGGGGAAACCTGACCCCACCCAGTTATCAACTCTGGGTGATAGCAACACCAGCCCACTTTCCTACTATTCCCAAGGGGGGTTCTGCCCTTTGTAGGGCTCCTTAAGTCTCTCTGGCTGGGGGATCAAAATGGAAGTCACAAACTCTCCACGCTTTCAAGGAGACTCCCTGAGGTTCCAGAAAGCAGGGGTGGGGAAGGGGGGAGGGTATCTACAGTGCTGCCAACAATCCAGTCCCAAGATAATAGGTTGAGGAAATCACTTTGTCTGGGTTTCTGTGGCAGGCTCAGCCTGTGTGTCTTACCATAGGTGGTCTGCTGTACTTTCCTCAGGGTCGGGATGAAAGTCTCCTGCCTAGGAGTTCCCTTTGCAACGTCAGGCATTACTCCTGCAGTCTAGTGCTTAGGGTAGTCTTGCTCCTTTCCCCCTGCTTACTGAAGTTTCTTCCTGTTTAAAGCCCTCCTCCCAATCATGCATGATTGACAGGACTGGATAGGTGGGGCTAGCCCAACCAGCAAAGCCTCTCTGCTCTCTTCCTCATACCTGGGGGCCTATACTCTGTCACAGACCTTCACCCAAACTTTCAGAGAGTGTATTCACCAGTTCAGAGATGACAAAACTAACACCAGTACTTGAGCTACTTAGGACATACATTGAAGCCAGCCAGCCTTGCAACTTCCTGAGGTGTAGTGTGGTGTGCTGCACTACACAGGTACATACTGCCGTGTACCCCAGGAATCTGAGGCATCTGTGAACTGTGGTGAGAGGATTTGCTTTTAGCTCCAGAACTAACCCCCAGTGTTTCAAAGCTTGATTTTGGCAGAAAAGCCTTGGCCTTCGTAGAGTCTAAGACTGCTCCAATAAATTCAATTATCTGTAGTGGTTTCAGGATTGATTTGTCCCAATGAACTGGAAGCTCGGTGTATTGAATGCAGATAGGCTGATGGACAGAACAGTACTTGACCTTTGGACTTGCCTCTCACCAGCCAGTTTTCCTGATCTGGAAACAGATGGACACCTGATTTTCAAAGATACCCTACCACCATGGCCATGCACTTTGCGAAAACATGAGGAGCAGCTGACAGACTGAATAGAACCACTGTGAATTGGTAATGGGTTCCATTCGCCACGAATCTGAGAAATGTCCAGTGGTTGTGGCATATTGCCACATGGAAGTAAGCACCTGTTAAGTCGAGGGCACCATACCAGTCCTCTTGTTTCAGGGAGGGAATCATGGAAGCGAAGGTGACCATATGAAATTTTATCTTCTTCAGGAATCTGTTTAATTCTCCTGTATACAAAATAGGCCTGAGACAATCTTTCGCTTTGGGAATAAGAAAGTAGAGGGAATAGAAGCTCTTCCCCTGAAGCACAAAAGGACTTCCTCTGTGGCTTCTGCTTCAAGGAGGGATTAGACTTCCTGCTGAAGGACAGTTTCATGAGAGTGGTTCCTGAAGAGACATGGAAGGAAGACAGAAATAAAACTGGAAGGAACATCCCAGATCAACCATGCTTAAGAACCACTTATCTGATGTTATGTGAGACCAAGTACTTAGGAAGCGAAATAAGCAACTGGAAAACAAAAAGGGTAGAAACAGACAGAACTGTGGGAACTGGTAAACTATCCTTATCAGCCCATCAAAATGCCTGTTTGGACGAAGCGGCTGGATGAGATGAACCTGCTGATGCAGAAGAGGGTGGTGGTGGTGGTCACCTCCTTTTAACCTCTGCCTTTCTTTTTTGGTGGGTTCAGGGATCCCCATGCTTTCAGGGAGACTCTGAGGATCACAGAACAAAGCCCTAATGCCTATAGGACTGCTGAGAACAATACTTCTTTCTTTTCATTGCCAGTGCATAGATTCCAGGCAATTTTAGCATTGTCCTGCGCTCTTTTAGGCTATGAAGTCTATTGTCTGTCTTGTCTGAAAATAAGGAAGGACTTTAGAATGGTAGATCTTGGATGGTCTGCTGAACCTCTGCAGGAAGACTGCAGCCATCACTACTTTCTTATAGTTATACTAGATGCCATGGTGCGAGTTGCTGAACCTGCCACATCCAAGCTGTCCTGGTCACCAGCTTGTCCTCCTCTACCATCATATTGAATTCCTGCTTGCAGTCATCCAGTAACCTGTCCTTAAATTTCATCATGTTCTCCCAGAGAGTATCATAGTGACTTCAGAGCACCTGTTGGTTTTCAATTCTGAGTTTCAGACTTCATAGAATAAAGTTTACAGGCAAACAAGTCCAGCCTTTGACTTTTTTCCTTTAGGAGTCAACACCTGGTACCATGCATCTTCCGCTCATTAGCTGCTGCCACTACTAAGGAGCCCAGGAGAGGACAAGAATACGGATGTTCAAACCCATTAGAAGCCATGTAGAACTTCTCTTCTTCCCTTCCTCCCACAGCAAAATGGGCAGAGAGGGACTGCCAGAGTGCATTAACCAGCTCCAGAATGGCTTAATTAGTCACTAGAGCCACTCTGAAAGGTGCTGCCAAAGCCAGAATGTCCATCAACTTGTGAGATTTCTCGCAGACCTCTTCTGCCTGAATGTCCATAACAGAGACCACCATTCTCAGTAGACTTTGGTGAACCATGTAAACCTCTGATGCTGCTGAGTCGCTTACCACCTCCATAGCCTCATCTGATGGGGAGGAAGAGGTAGCGCCTGCACTGTGTCTTGCAGTGGGAGAACTTCCCAAGCGACTTCTAGCTACTCAGTACCAGGCCCGGTCCCAGTCCTCGAAGAATGTTGCCTGTGGGGCCAATACTCTTGGTGCGCCCTCGAGGAAACCGACTGAGGCAGGTAAGAGGAAGCCCTAGCAGGAGGAGGAACACCCCATGGTGTCCAGAAAAGGACCTATCCTTGTCCAGGCCATTGCCCCTTCAGAGAATGACACTGCTGCGACTGCTGCAAGACATATGGCTCCCAAGTCTCTGGCAGAGGATATGTGCCCTGCCTACATTGAGACACAAAAGACTGCACCTCTGAGTCTGAGGAAGACAACTCTCAGTCCTCTGATAACAGTGGAGCAGAGCCCCATTGGAACCAGAGATAGGTAGCCAGAGCTCAGGGATGGCAGTACAAGGATACCATAGTTGGCTTGCCTCTTGATTGCACCAGCTTCTGATGTAGTAATGGTATTGTATGCTCCTGAAGAGACAGTAGGAACCACTGGTACTGGTTGGAAACCTTCCTGCACAACCAGAGACACCAAGAGGTTAAGCAGTTCTCTCATGGCTGCATAAACCTCTGGTGTCATTGATGCTTGTCTTGATTCCTGACCCTGATGTCTTTCTATGGGTACGTCAGAGGTTGGACTCGAGAGACATGACACAGGTTCTAGGGTTGACTATCTTAGATGAGGAGTCCTCTAGGAAGCACTCTTCAGAGTCTTTCCCAGAGTCCTTGCCTCTAGCTGACTTCAGTACAGACGATCTTGCCAAACAGGGTACTAAGTCTCTCAAGGGCCAGTCTCTCTTTTTTTGGCACCAGAGATAGAGAGTGAGGTGCTGTAGACATCTCCAATGGAGCACTCCATATCAAAATGCAGTACTCAGAGTCCATTTAAAAAGCAAGGTCTCCAATGGTGGGCCATTAGGAGACACTTGAACCTGGCTGCTCTATCCTTCTTAGAACCAAGCGTGGATCTCTTACAGATGGACACTTGTCAGTAATGTTGGACTCCTCCAAGCATTTTAGACAGCTGGGGTGTGGGTCAATGACAGGCAGGACTTAAACCCCAGAAAGCAAGGCATGGTTCTGATACCAGACCCAGTACCAAAATTTGAATTGGATTTAAAAAAAAACAAAAACATAAAAACTGAAGCTTAATATTAACACTTATCTATACTAGATTTTACTTAACTACTAACTTCTAAGAAAAAATTGGCTATATACAAGGAGCAAGGGAAGAACTTGCTATAGCAAGACTGAAAGCACTCCAACAACAATCACTGGGAGTAAGAAGCAACTGAGGGTGATCACTGCACCTTTTGTACCTGCAAGCAGTGGCAGACAAGGGTTGCTCAAGCTGCCCCAACGAGTACCACTGAGGGAAAAAGATCAACAACTGTGCGTGAGGGGGTACACACACCTACAGTGGAATGGACATGTAAAAATACTCGAAGAAGAGAGAAGAATTTTAAAATGTTAAAAGACACGATACCTCCAGGTGTGTGATTATAGTATCATATATGCCACATTTCAGAGTGTCCATGCCTCAGGTTCACTTTCATAATACAAGATATGTGCATATGACATACCTATACATCCTGAAATGTATTGCTTTCATAAAGGGGTTCTATTACTATTTCTTTGTTAATGGACGCCTTTAATCATGTCAAGTAACCAGGTGCCAAATCATTATAAATTTCTAAATACATTGGGTAGAATTGGTGCACTATATAATAGAATATTTCTAAAAAAAATCTAAACTGATTATAGGGTAACTGTAGGGAACCAGAGGGTAAAGAGCCACCCTTGCAGCCTCAGTGGGCGGGGCCAGGCCAAGGTTCCGCCAATCCCTGGAAGGGGAAGGGTAGGACAGGAAGTACAAAGGGCAGGGCCCTCTGCCCTGTGAGGAGAGCACCAGGGAGGGAGACAGACACAGGCTGCTCCCTCGTGATCCTGCTGCTGACCCAGGCAAAGCCCTGGTCAAGGAGGAGCCTGACGGGGAGGAAGGCCTGTGGCAACCAGGGCTGCCAGCCGCTGAATACCCGGAGGACCTGGAGGGGCCTGACGGCAGCCTGGGCCACCGTGAGTCCGATACCAAGGGGGAGCGGGAGTGGCCCGCAGTGGAATACCTGGAGGAGATGGAGGGACCGGAGCGACCCGCCTGAGAGACTGGATAGGAAGTAGCCCAGGGGCCAAACTATACTGTGGGGTGGGTGTGTTTGGCCAGCGGGCACGGAGAGCCCCGCTGACCCAGGGGCAGGACTTCCAGCCCAGGGCCCCGGCAGTGGCGGGAGGCGAAACGCAGTGGAGTTGGGTGGGCCTGCGTTCCCCTACCCTGGTGCCCCCCTGCCTGAGGGGCACGCTACTGACTCCGACCGGCGCCTCCCTGCCTGAGGGGCGCACTACTGACTCCGACCGGCACACCTTCCCCGCTAATTCCCCAATGCCCGGAAGGTGTGGCTGAGGCCTGCCACGGAGACCATAGCTCTCCATCGCCCCTAGGGGCTCGGAGGACCGACCGACACCTGTCACAGTAACAAATGTTTTAAATTAATAACTTTTTGCTCATGATTTTTCATGAAAAAACAAGTAAATGAGTATTCCCACAATGCATTAATCCATAAGGACATAGTTTAGCAATTTAAACATTGCCTTTTAAATACTTTAACTACATGGAGCCCTAGATACAAATCCAGATAGATTTGAATCTGTCCCCAGAAAGGAAATTTTTCTATAATTCCAAAGGGAGAAGTGGGTACTCAGCACCTCTGACAATCAGGGCCTGTTTCTGTTCATCTTCTTATGATCTATGGATGAAGCTTTTGATGCCAAGGCATCATGTTCTGTGAAGTTTTTAATTTTAACATATTTTATTAGAGTAGGAATCTGTCATGGTGTTCTGCACAAAAATTTCTCCTCTTTCCACTACTGTTATGTAGCTACATGACAGCTACTCTCCCCCATGGAAGTTGCTGGATTTCGATGATGCTGTATATGAGAGAAGTATTTGGTGATCCCTCAGCAGAAAAGATGTAATGTATTAATTGTGGTACATACCAGAAATGAATCTTTTATGATACTCACTACATGTTCCAGTGAGCTTGTTTGAGTGGAAATCAACCTTTCAAAAAGATGCAGTGTTGCTTTTTCAAGGCTAGGCAGATGACGAAGCCACAAGCTTAGGATAGCTGATTCAGAGAGGGCAATCTTCTTCCTGAGTTAATGGGAAAATATTGTTTTCTACAAACTGAGCCATGAAGTGAATAAATATTTAAAAGATTGCATATCAATGCAAAATTATCAATCCACATATACATACTTATGCACTTTCTCCTAAAATTGTATATCTAATTATTACCTACCTTTTACAGATGGGAAAACTGAGATACTAGCCCCTGGTCTACACTACGGGGTTAGATCGAATTTAGCTGCGTTAGGTTGATTTAAAAATGACTGCGTCCACACAACCAACCCCATTCCGTCAACCTAAAGGGCTCTTAAAATTGAATTCTGTAGTCCTCCCTGACGAGGGGCATAGCGCTAAAATCGACCTTGCTGGGTTGAATTTGGGGTAGTGCGGATGCAAATCGACAGCATTGGCCTCTGGGACGCTATCCCAGAGTGCTCCATTATGACTGCTCTGGACAACACTTTCAACTCCGATGCACTAGCCAGGTACACAGGAAAAGCCCCGGGAACTTTTTGAATTTCATTTCCTGTTTGGTCAGTGTGGCGAACTCAGCAGCACAGGTGACCACGCAGTCCCCCCAGAATCGCAAACAAGCTCCAGCATGGACCAAAAGGGAGACATTGGATCTAATTGCTGTAGGGGGAGAAGCATCTGTGCAGGCCGAACTCCAATCAAAAAGAAGAAATGCAAATATATATGCCAAAATCTCAGAGGGCATGTTGGAGAGAGGCTACAACAGGGACACACAGCAGTGCCGCATGGAAGTTAAGGACTCAGGCAAGCCTACCAAAAGACAAAGTAGGCAAACAGTCGCTCCGGGTCAGAGCCCCATACATGCCGCTTCTGTGATCAGCTGCATGGCATTCTAGGGGGGACCCTACCACTATCCGACTACTGTCTGTGGACACCTGCAAGGGGGGAGTCTCACGCCACAGGGAAGAGGATTGTGTGGACGAGGAGGAGGAGAATGCGCAGCAGGCAAGCGGTGAATCCGTTCTCCCTGGCAGCCAGGACCTTTTCATCACCCTGGAGCCAATACCCTCCCAAGGCGGGATCCCCAACCCTGAAGCTGGAGAAGGCACCTCTGGTGAGTGCACATTTGTAACTACAGCACAGGGTTTAAAAGCAATAGTGTTCAATGTTTGATTAGCCCTGAAGAATTGGGATGCATTCACGGCCAGTACAGCTACTGGAAAAGTCTGATCACATGTCAGGGGATGGAGCGGAAATCCTCCAGGGACATCTCCTTGAAGCTCTCCTGGAGCTGAAAGCCATGAAAGCCTTTTGCAGAGGGTTTCTGGGGAGGGCTGCCTTATTTCATCCTCCACGGTAGGACATTTTATCACGCCAAGCCAGTAGCAAGTATTCTGGAATCATTGCAGCACAAAAGCATGGCAGCGAATGGTCCTGGCTTTTGGTCGCATTCAAGCAACATTCGGTCAATATCTTTCTGTGTTAGCCTCAGTAGAGTGACACCATTCATCGTCACCTGGTTGAAATAGGGGAATTTTTGTAAGGGAACAGTAAACGGACCCCATTCATGCTGGGCTGTTTGCGCTTGGCTAAAAGGGATCAACCAGAAAACAGCCATGTGGCGGGGTGGGGGGGGTGGGGGGAGGAGTGAAGGAATCATCCCAGAGAATAGCCACACGGCGGGGGGAGGGGAGAAGGTATCATCCCAGAGACTAGCCACGCGGAGGGGTGGGAGGTGGTGTGTGTGCTGCACATCTACCCGAAAACTACAGCCCCTCCTTTTAAATGTGAAACCCAACCAGCATTGCTTGCTATGGGAAAGGATGGCGTTGCAGTTTGAAACCATTCCCACATGTTATGAAGGCATAAGAAGCCAACCCCGTGTAACAAAAGGCTTACCATGGCTGCCTGGAAACCGAATTCTGTTGCCCAGCCGTTTGTGATGTGTCACCCTACTGGCAGGCGTTCAATATAAAAGGCAAAACACGATCTTGTACCTAAAGCACATGTGCTGTCTGCTGTGAATTGCTTGATTCACTGTGAGTCTCCCTTTTGTTCTCAGAAATGTATCATCTTAAAATTTTACTCTCCCTTTTTATCTCCCCCCAGGTGCAAACGTTTCTACGCTCCCCCTATTATCTCTGTCCCTGCAGTTATTGCAGATTAGAAGGCGAAAAAAATGCACTCGCGAGGACATGTTTGCCGAGCTCATGCAGTCCTCCTGCACGGATAGGGCACAGTTTATTGCATGGAGGCGTGCAGTGGCAGAGGCCAGGAAAGAATCAAGTGAGCGCGAAGAGTGGAGGCAGGACGCAATGCTGAGGCTAATGGGGGAGCAAACGGACATGATGAAGCATCTGTTGGAGCTGCAGGAAAGCCAACAAGAGCACAGACCCTCCCTGCATCCACTGTATAACCGCATGCCTTCCTCCCCAAGTTCCATATCTGCCTCACCCAGACGCCCAAGAACGCGGGGGGGAGACTCCAGGCAGGCAGCCAGCCACTCCACTCCACTCCAGAGGATGGCCCAAGCAACAGAAGGCTGTCATTCAAACAGTTTGATTGTTCGTGTGACTACAATAAACAATGTGGCCTTGTCCTTCCCTCCTCTCCCACCCCACCCGGGCTACTTTGTCTGACCTAATTTTTAGTGTAGACATACCCTAAGAGATTAAGTGATTTCTCCCAAAGCCAAACAGCAGGTAAGTAGGAGTGCAGGAATTAGAACTAAGCCGCCACTGGCTCTTTAGTCCTCTATTCATGCTGCTTCTTAAAATGTGACTACAGGCTTAATAGAAAAGTTGAGAATTTATACTGTCTAATAGTAATTGCCTATCAACTGATTTATAGAAGTTCAGTTAAGTGAACCTCACAGCATATCTTGCAAGTCAACAAATCCATGCTCTGTCAACTCATGAAAAGACTAGCTTTCTACTATAACTCAGCTAAAATACGTTATTACATAATTAGAAAATAAGATACCAAGAAAGCATAGGTTTGCAGTGGGACAACACCATAACGTGGGTATACTATGCATGAGGCAAAAAGCAGAGCACAGCAACCACCCAAGAAGAGGAAACATCCCACCACAACACACACTGGAATATGTTTACAGCTATTATAAAACTGGCATTAGGTTAGTTTCAGATTAAAATTTTTAATACAACAAAAATTGCATATCTTAATGTAACACCCAATTATGCAGAATTAAACAGAACTAAGGTTAGGATCTGTCCTCTGGTGTCCATGCCTTATCATGGGACAGCTTGCGTGCTCTAACGATCCCCAGAGTCTGTGTTGGTGGGGGCTTTTTGCTCCTGGTAGGTTCTACCAGGCTTGACTGGTCTGTGAGGGAGGGGCCAGACAAAACATACCCTGGTCCTCCAGGTTGGGGGTTAGGCACAGGGCTAACAACCTTGTCCCGTAAAAAAAATGTTACGGAAACAGCAACAGAGAAATCTACCATCACTGTGTGTGATGGCCTTCAGGAGTCAATGACCCATATGACTGCCAGTGGTGAAAGCCAAAAGGAAGCCACTGGCATGAAGACTGAAGTGCTCAACACCAAGACAAAAACCAAGGGTTTTTGGAACATACGGACAATGTATGAAACAGGGAAGCTAGCTCAGATCACAGCAGAGATGAGACGCTACAGCTCACACATGCTGGGTGTCAAAGAGAGCAGATGGATGGGATCAGGAAGACTAACAACAGCCTTGGGAGAAACTTTGCTGTTTTCTGGATGGGATGATGGACAACACCATGAGGGTGTTGCCATCCTTTTGAAGAAGGGAGTGGAGCATTCCCTGCTTTAATGGAAATCCATCAGCAGCAGACTTATGAGATCCAGACTGAAAGGGAAATATAATAAGATCCTGATTCAGTGCTCTGCCCTGACAAATGACAGTGATGAGGAAGTAAAGGACAAATTCTACTTTTAACTCCGCCTGTAGTGTGAGAGAGTACCACACCACAACCTAACTATTGTCATGGGAGACCTGAATGCCAAGGTCAGTAAGGACAACACAAACAACAACAGAGCAATGGGAAGACATGGGTGTGGCACCATGAATGAAAATGGAGAAAGGCTTGTTGATTTTTGTAATATGAATGACCTAGTCATTGGCGGAACCCTATTTGAACATCGGGAAATTCACAAGCTGACATGGTGTTCTCCAAATGACAGAGATAAGAACCAGACTGACTATGATCAATGGCAAATGGCGACGCTCACTGACAGATGTGAAAGTGAGAAGGGGTGCAGATGCTGGTAGCAACCACCACCTTGTGACAGCCTCCATCAAGCTAAAACTGAGAGGTGTCCACCAAACAAGGGACAGACATTATGATACTGACAAGCTGAAGTCCCTTGAAATACAGAAAGCCTTTGTTCTGCAGTTAAAGAACAGGTTTCAAGCACTTGCAGACCTTGATGAAGAGGAGGGGAATGCAGGATTCTGATAGTGGTTGAAAACTTGTATAATTTCTGTTCACAACTGTTGTCTACATAGCTGCTTCACATAAGATTTTACATCTCCAGATAGAGGAAAACAGCAAAAATAATTAACACATGTGCAGTACTTTACATTTTCAAAATACTGTTTAACCATTAAATTAATGTGTATATATTATATGCACTGTACTACAACGTCTTGGCTCAGCAGGGTGAATTAAGAAGAGTGTCAGATTAGATTAACATTAATTTTATATTGTTTTTTGTGGTTTGATATGTATTATTTCAAGCTTTCTTTCTGATTTTAAATCAGAAAATGACAAGTGAAAAATGGACACTTCTTTGTATTTTTGAAAAAGGATAAATGCAAAGTCCACACAGAGAAACTTTAACTCATAGGCAGGAAAATATTTCTTATACTGGGAGCAAACTGTCCTCTCTGTCCTTGTGCCAGAGGAACTTGGGCATGCTTCACAGGGGACACCACTGGGTTCTCTGGTAGGTTACTAGTCATACTACTTTTCTAGCATTTACTAATAACTAATTAAAGGAGCAGTCTTCTTGGATATCCAGAAAGAAGCCAAGTAAGGCTCATAACTTGAGGTCAGAGGCTGTAAAGGGCAGACAGACAGAGGTGAAGAATAGGGAGATAAATAATGAAAGGTGACTGAAGTAGAAAAATGTAATTAAGTCCCTCTGAAGGTTACAAGAACCTCAATAGAAGACCAAGAGCCCACCATACAAAGAATAATGAGCTCAACACATCTATGCATAGGAATACCCTCACAAGTACTTTCAGAGGCCCTCAATGAATAAAGTGGCCAACAACAATACAAACGGAATTCCTTTAGCTTGTTGTGATAAACAATCACTGGAAAAGGTAAAACACAGGTCAGAGTATTAGATTCAGAAAAATCCTCTGATCACAGAAAAACCCTCTATCACCACAGAAAATGTTCAGACTCACATTAAGGAGCGACAAAAATATTTGTAATGATTTATTGCCTGTTGACTCAAGTGATATTGACTCAGTTTGGACAGTCTATCCTAGGGCAGTTGTCCTAGGAAAGCTTCCAGAATTTTTACCACTACTTGTGGAAAGTGCTGATCTGAAGCCACAGGAAACAGACAAGTCAAAGACAACCCATTCCTTTTGGATTTTCAGATAAAGTTTCACTAAAACAAAGAGACTTCATTAGTTTCTGATGGAGTATTTATCTAGTAGCACATGTACAACGATAAATTAAAAATTGCTGCCCTGATATCATCTACCAATGCAATGTTTTATTTTGCTGTTACTGGAGCCGTTCGGGGAAACACTGATTTCTGGTCTTCTTCAGCAATCTCATCTGAACTTCGCAGACATAATGATGATGGGCTCCAGAAGAACTAGCGTCCAGCCCTCCTTAGCTAAAATTATTTTTGGGGCCAGCTTAGGGACTTCGAAGAGATGGGAAAAAGGTGGATGCATGGGGGAGAAAAGGTTCCCAGAGGATCATTTAAATATGAGGAATTCACTGTTTCCAAAAATGTCTTTTTAAAGCTATATAGCTGCCGAAAGCAGGAATTTCAGAGGGAGGGGGATTTTTTTTTGTTTTGTTGGCTTTAAAAAAAAAACAAAAACAAACACAAAAACCTCAGTCTGAGGATTAGTTCAGAAAACATGATATCTAGAGTAACAGCCACATTTTCTTCTACTACTATTATGGTAGATCGTGCCAAACTATCTCAACCTTAGAATATGGACACAGTTTAATACAGACACACAGTATGAGGACAGGTGAGCAAAAAGTTTCAAATTTATGAGATGGACTCCAGCAAAGACTTCTGTGCATTGTGAAGGAAACACCCTTTTCACTCCAGAAAACCTAGGTGAAGGATATTGTAATCATTCTTATGTCTAGAACTTCATATTTTAGTTGATAGAATCTCTGTTTCACTGAACGACCCTCTTGCTTAAGCTACTGCCCAGTCCACACTCTTAGAGGATCCACCTACCATATGAACATACATCACACATATATTGTTTTAACATATAAATTATAAGGACTCTTATTTGGGGTCACAAAGACAGCCCTCTCTCCACTCAAAAATTTTATCAGAGAAATGATCCAAGATATCTGGTCTCTTGAGATGCTGAAAGGAGAAAGAGCTATAAGGCAGGGTTGTGATGAGCAGCAGTTGCCCCTGCAAGACATTGTGATGATTAGAGGAATGTCCGGGATGTGAAGATTCAAGGGTTCTAGGTATGAGTATACTCTTCTTCAGTGGTGTATGCAAAAGGTGATCAAATACAAGTTATGTTTAAATCTTTAGAAATAAGGCCCAGGGATTTCATCCCAACTATGTGGTTTAATGAAGTGGGTGAAGTATTCAAGGCCTTATGTGGTCATTGTGAAAGCCCAAACTCAAAAGTTAAATCACTAGGTCTCAGAGATTCTATTCCATTCTATACAGGTTCTATCATCCTCATCACCAAAGTATCTCAGTGCCTTCAAGGACTGCACTGAATGACATGACTAATATCAGTCACACAGGAGTGCCGAACAGGGTCCAAGGCCCTCCCACTTTTGAAAGTGGATGGGGAGCCTGGAGGGAGGAGCTACAGGCCAAGGGCTGCTCTTGGGTCCCCCATCCTGGGAAGGTGGAGGCCTGGCTCCAGCTTCTGCCTTGGCCAGAATGCAGGGCCCTGGGCGGGGCGGAAAGGGAAGAGGAGGACAGGGGCTGGGCCTTGTGCCCCTCTCCCCCCCCCCCCACACACACACACTTAAGAAGAATCTGTCACCCCTGGTCCAAGGAGAGAAGTGTGAAACTTTTGTTAGGGTGTTTTTGTTTATTTCTTTGCTTGCTTACTTAGGTAGATTTTAAATACCTACTCATTACAATATATTTGTATTAGAGAAGGTGAGATTGAAGGAGGATGCCAATGGAAGTTGGTGAGGTTCGTGCTGGTCTTTATCATAGAATATTAGGGTTGAAAGAGATGTCAGGAGGTCATCTAGTCCAATCCCCTGCTCAAAGCAGGACCAACACCAACTAAATCATCCCAGCCAAGGCTTTGTCAAACCTCTAAGGATGGAGATTCCATCACCTCCCTAGGTAACCCATTCCAGTGCTTCACCACCCTCCTAGTGAAACAGCGTTTCCTAATATCCAACCTAGACCTCCCCGACTGCAACTTGAGACCATTTCTTCTTGTTCTGTCATCTGCCACCACTGAAAACAGCCTAGCTCCATCCTCTTTGGAACCCCCCTTCAGGTAGTTGAAGGCTTCTATCAAATCCCCCCTCATTCTTCTCTTCTGCAGACTAAATAACCCCAGTTCCCTCAGCCTCTCCTTGTAAGTCATGTGCCCCAGCCCCCTAATCATTTTCATTGCCCTCCACTGGACTCTCTCCAGTTTTAATCTATGAGCTAATCTCATCCAAGCACTGGACCACCTTGGAGGCAGAGTTATAAGCAAATCTACATATCATTAACTGTATTCAAGTGCCTAGTTAAAAATAATCTGCTGGGAGACAGAAGACTTGAACACAAGGAGAACCAAGTTCTCAATAGAAATACAAGAACGAACTGTCAGGCAACACAAAGACAAGAATATAACCAATATTTTTTGGTATGCAAGGACACAAAATTAAATCAGGATCTCTAATAGCAGAAGTTAGGAAGGATCCAGTATATTTATGGCAAAGAGGTACAAAATCTCAGTGAAAGGCAAAATCCAAAAACACAATTACAGTGACACTGTCTAACATATCATAGGGAAAGTAAAATTGAAACAGCACATCAGCAGTCTAGAATCCTTGTTTTTGTTCCAACTTTAGGTCTGCTATTCAGGTAAAAAGAAAATATTCTGTTACAATACAGTAGACATTCAATGCATCCAACATGCAAATTCACCTAATAGTAATTCCAACTGAACAGAGTTAATATTCTTTTTGATGAGGAGGCATAATCTGTATATTCTATGTTACTTACTTTAAAAATGTCTCATTAACAGCTTCTAAAAACTCTGAGCTGAGAACCTCTTGTGATCCACCTCCATGATAGGTAAGGAGCGCTTCCAGTAGAGGAGTTACATCAGGCAAAGTGATAAGAGGGACGCAGAAAAGGGACACTACAGTTACATGATCATCTGAAACTCTGGAGAAATAAAAAAGGTTTCTTATTTTAGGGAAAGAAAACACTCAAAAGTCTTAACTTCTAAAGTTAAGAAAACAATTATTTATTGTAGCAAATGCTGAAGTATTCTCAAATGGAATACTTCAAAACAATCAGAATTTCTGTATGTTGGCACTGAAAACTATGGTAAACATATTGCAGTAGGGACCTCAAACAATTCTAAAGTGCTGGTGGGTGTTCAATAACTACATATGCCTTGCTAGCAATGAATATTTTGCCTTTCCCAGTTTGATAAAGAGCAAAGCAGTCCCTCAGAGGAAGATTACAGTTTCACAGCTCCCACATGGGTATCTTAAGTTCTCACAGGAGACAACCAAGCTGGCTTTGAGATCTCTATGGTTTCCTCGGCTTTTCTCATTCCAGCAGGAATTACTCCAGTGCATACCACAGTATAAATCCTGCTACCTTCAAGTGCTCAGGCATAAAATACGAGGATTTGTCTTAAAGATCTACAACTGAAGGGATGTATAGCATAGTATTTTTATAGCATTAGTACAGCATAGCATAGTAATTGACCCTGCCTAACAAGATTGCACTTTTGGAAAAGATTAATGATGGTGCAATCTAAATAGTACTAAGGTGGAGGATAATTTAATATTTAAAGCCAAATTTTAAAAAGATTGACTTTTTCACATATGGATGAGGGTGTTAACTGGGCAGCCAAAATAAGCAATTACATATGCAAAAGTAGGTATTTCCCAGTTTATGTACAAAATTACTTGTTATTACCTGTAGCGGGGTGGCTGCCTCACCCCCATGAAAGAGTGGGTCAGGGCAGGCCAGTGCAGCTGCGCAGTCTGGCAGCCAATAGGGAAGGGCCTGTCCGGAGTCAATCAGAACTGAGCTTTAGGTGGCCAATCAGGGCCAGGCTCAGCCCTATATAAAGGCTGCCCAGGAAGGGAGCAGTCAGTCTGTCCCAGACCTTCATGGGAGAAGGTCTGTCTCCTGAGCAGGAAACCAGCACCTAGGACAGCGTGGTGCTGGACATGCTTGGGGAAGCAGAGGAGAGCTCTAGCCTGATACCTGCCAGACTGCTTGGTCTGAGTAGAAGGGCTTAGAGGGTTCAATGGTGTCAGAGGGGAAGTGACCCAGGGAAGACTGAAAGGAAGGGGAGAGAAGGAGGGCAGGGAGGCTGACATTAGAGGGTCCTTGGGTTGGGACCCAGAGTAGTGGGTGGGCCTGGGTCCCCACCCTCTTTTCCCCCTTGTGCCACACCAGGCCGTGGAGAGGTAGCTGAATCAGGCTGCAATCTACCCCCAGACATAAGAGGGGCTAGACTTGGGGGTTGTGGCAGGTCACTGAGGCTGGTGCAAAGACTCTTGATTAAAGCCCTGCACCCAGAAAGGGTGAGTGTGGACTTAGGGGCACTGCTGGAGGGCAGTGTCCTGAAGAGGATGCTGCAAGCAACACGGGTTGAGAAGCCAACTGAGGGAGAGAGATGGATGGGACACCACCGGCAGAGGGCGCTCTGCATAAATTGAGCTAATTCATAGAATCATAGAATATAAGGGTTGGAAGGGACCCCAGAAGGTCATCTAGTCCAACCCCCTGCTCGAAGCAGGACCAATTCCCAGTTAAATCATCCCAGCCAGGGCTTTGTCAAGCCTGACCTTAAAAACCTCTAAGGAAGGAGATTCTACCACCTCCCTAGGTAACGCATTCCAGTGTTTCACCACCCTCTTAGTGAAAAAGTTTTTCCTAATATCCAATCTAATTCCCTGACCGAACAGCAGGAGGTGCTGCAGTGGTGAGTCCCAACCCTGTCACGTTACCCATCCATCTGAACTTCAGAAGTAAAATTTAACAAGCTATATTTTGAAAATGTGGCTGTTCTTTTGACCAGAAACATCCCTCAAGTCTCCTTGAGGGTACTGATGGATGGAAAAAGGGTACTGATGGATGAAAACTACAGTTATTTACAGTGTCCTATTCAGCAATAAGAACTGAACATATTGTGATTTGTTGACAGACCTTCTGATGTCTACAGTGGGGAAATGCTACATGATATATTTTCAAAGTTTCCTAAATTTTTGACTTAATATTTCCAGTTTAAAAATGAATATGGAAATAGGTATAGACATTCAGGCTCTGGCTGCAGCCTGGGCTCTAGGACCCTGTAAGGTGGAAGGGTCCCAGAGCTGCACCTGATCCTGTACGTCTACACCTCAATTAAACAGCTCCTAAACCAAAGCCCCATGATCCTGAATCAGCTGGCACAGGCCAGCCACATGAGTCTAACTACAGTTTAGACATACCCTTGGACATCTCTCCCTGAACCTTAGAGTGTGTGTGAGAGAGATACATGGGGCAGAATCAGACAAGGGAGTCCACGGTAGTCTAGCCCTTTGCAGGAAAGCCAAGGGTGTGGGTAGGCTGCCCCAGAGCTAATGCAAAGACGCCAGGTTTCTGTGCAGACTCCCCTCCTGTTTCCTGGCCTCCTATTGCAGGTTTATCTAGGACTGGACAATCAGATCCTTAACTACTCTGCTGACAATGCACAAGAAGGAATATAATCCTGCTTGCTCTCCCACCGCAATATAAACCCTGTAGTATTAGCACAAGTAGTAAAAATCTGTTTTGTTACTGAAGTGAGCACCTATGACAGACTATACACAGTGTGCACCTCTGAGTAAAATGGAGCCATTTTCACAAAGGCTTTTCAAGTAACAACCACACTTTAATTGAATACATATGGTATGTATCCCTCTGTTTTATTTTTGCTTTAATTTTTACTGACAAACTTTGATTCAGATGTAATCAAAGGTTCTGTTGATGTATTCTGAAAATATTTTTAAATGTTTAACAGGTTAGTCTTCATTTCAAAAAGCCCACAGTACCAGGTATAATAAGGAGGGATGGACACATTCAAAGTGGTGAGGAAATCAAGAACTAAGCAAATACAATTCTTTTTACCAAAGAGACTGCTGCTCAGTCACCTCAAACAGCACTTCTATCACCCAATTCCATGTATTTAAAACAGTGAATCTACTTGCGTTGAGCAGTAGTTACTCACATGGGTAATCTCAATGGTACTACTGTGAGAGTCAGGACTCCTCAGCATGAGTAAGGACTACAAATTTGAACTCTTGCTAACTGTGCACTAATGGTGACATCTGCCCTTCTGACGTCACATAAGCATACAATACCACCTGCACTGTTCACTGATATGAACAAGGAATGCAAATACATAATTGGCTAAGAGGGGCATGTAAGAGCACTGCAGACATGCTACCCTATACCCCAAGGCTGTGATTATCTGGTAAAATGTTTTCTGTGATGTTCCACTTAACTAGCTTGTCCATTACCAAAGCTATATGGTAATTCTAAATATTACCATGATTCTAAATATATTTAAGTCGAATGTTTCAAAAATTCTGAAAGGTCCTCACTGAACTTCAATGATCCATACCAAGACTTATTGAAATGAAGTTTAGATAACACCTACCTCCCTTGAATGTTAAGTCCATTAAACTGATTTCCTTTGAGTTCTGTCACTAATGATGAGACTATCTGTTAAACAAAATCAATGACATTAAAAACATTTTATTTATAGAGAGGAAAATACACAACACACTGCAAATAGGAAGACATCAGTTGTATTTGTCTGTGCGAGACACATTTCAATAGTGGTAAGTAGCCTTTTCTGTAGAGTCCCCTCCCCCCACACCTTCCTCCCCCCCCCAGTTCCAGATCAGTGTTCAAGACAATTACAAGTACTAAAGTTGTTAAACCCCCATCATATCATTCCCATTACACAATTAGCAAGCAAATAAGTGAAATTACAGATTTGCATCCCAAGAGTTGAACTAACTTTTAAAGCCTTACAATAGGTAAAAATTCCAAAATAAGTAGTAAATCTTTTTATGAAATAATATTCCTATCATTTTACAGGGAAATGAAAAATCACTAATTTCCCCAAAATATAGGGTTCAACTAGCATTGTAAATAATGTGCACAGTCAAAAAGAAAATGTAACTGCATTTCTGGCAAACAAATGCCACAAAATATTTCCCTAAATTTCATAATGTTACAAAACATATCTTATCTAATAGTCATTTTAGTGACACATGAACAAGGATTTTTTTTTTAAAAACCACACAACTTTAGTATAAGCCTCCCTTTTTGTCATCTCCCATTTTATTTTTCTTCCTTAAAAGGCTATAAGAGGAACCAAGCTACAAAAAGATAAGTCATTCAGTTCATGTTTCTTATAGCAATGACACTTTCATACACACTCTTACAAACTGGTGATTTTATTTCTAATAAAACCTCCATTACACAAAATACTCACATTTTTAACCAGTTTAGAATAGTAATCTGCAGATGTGTAGCCAAGAGCAGAAATAAAGGTACCAGTACCAACTTCGTTAGCTCCCCATGAAGAAGAAGAAAGGAGATGGCACAGCAAGCTCTTGATGAAATCATAGTGAAGGAGAAACAATAAAACACATTTTAGTGTCTGATATTGTTGATGTTATATACCTAGATTTTGGGCCAGATCCTCAGATGGACTGTGGCTACTTTGAACCACACCACCAATATACTTTGGTCACAAAAGTCAGTGAAAGTTGCTTGGCTGAAGAGCATTCTAGAGTTGGGGTGATGCTGCTGTGGCTGACAGCGAAAACAAGGATTGAGATGTCACATGCTCTTGATAGTGCTAGTGTAGCAAGAAAAGGGCCTGGCCAGGATGGCCCCATACTACACGGATCCTGAGTTAGCTTTTAGGCCCCCGGATGCCATTCCAGGCTGGTGTAACTTCAAGTACCCCTCAGACCATTAACACTGTGCACAAGGAAAGAAGTGCACAGAGCAACATCAGTCAGTATGGTGGCAAAGGGAATTTTACACTAGAGTTTCACACTACTCCCTCAATTATGCTTAGAATATTTTGGACATACTTGAGGATCTGGCCTTTTTTTTAGCTGTCTCATTAGGGAGTTAATGGCAGCATTTATGGTTTAATGTTGACATTTACTTAATATTTTCACTACTAAATTCTTTACACCAAATTTCAAAACCATTAGAAAACATATTAAAAAAAATACAAATAGTTGGTATTCCATTTGCTGTAAGCTGAAATCAAATGAATTTTTATAAAAGCCCAGAACAATGATTGCAGGAAGTGCCATTGATGATTCTGTAGGTGGCACTCTTCCTTCTGAGTTAGTACCAAACCAATACCCCAGCATGTTAGTAAGGCACTGCACTGCAAGATATGCTGGCTTTTGGACAAACCAAGGTATCACCCACTTGAATATCCCTCAGTATGAACAGCTCTGCTCTTATGAAAAGTGCTATCACAACTACATTAGTATTTTGCTTATCAAAAAAATTACATTTCAGTTGAATATAGTTCTTAATTTCCAATTGTCAACTGTTATATTCTAATGGAATGTAGTACTAGACAGTTGCCATATTCCACCTCAGTGGTTCATTTCAGGTGCATGTTGAATCAGGACCTTACATGTTATAGCTACCTAAACAACATACAAATTCAACATGATTAATCATATGGAAATGTGTATGAAAACTAGGTTATTGTGACTGAGTGAATTAGGATGAGCAGACACTGAATAAGAAGGCACTTGAAGACGCTTCAGTCTCAATTTGCCTTCCAAACGCATTTTGAAGAAGTCCTGTGACCTCAGTGGTACTGAGTCCTTTATCTATATATATATTTTTTTTTAAACAGAGAACCTCATCTAAAATTCTCAACTAAAAAGAAAGAAGCAGTTTAATTCCTGCTTTCAGAACTCCAATCCAAATATTTATATATGCTTTGCTGGTTCACTGGTCCTGGAATTAAAAATATGCCCAGTTTGAAGTACAGTATATAAGATAATAAACAAGCAATAGAAATGCAATAAAGTCTAAAGACAATTATGGAATATCAAGAGATGTGCATCCCAAACTCTTGTATAATTTTGTATTCTTTTCTACAGGATTATTTTACACTGAAGATTTATGGTAATGCCTGAATTTTTTTTTCATATTTATTTTAGAGCTTTCAGCAAAAGAATAGCTGTTCTACTACCATCTAGTGGCAACTGTTCTAAACTGAAAATGAAAGGAAAATATTGTAGCAATTGTTTTATACAGCAGTTTGACAAAAGCAATTAATATACTTTTTTTAAAAATTTCAAAGCAGGAAAAATCAGCAAAAAGGGAACTTTCCTGGTGCGCAAACTTCCAAATACAATCAAAATAGAAACTTTATTCACCTTCACATTTTCCCTCTAATTTTCCCCATAATTAAATTACTAATTACTCTGGTAATTGCTATGTGTTTAACTCTTAGAATGCTATCAGATAGACAGCACCTGGAAACTAGGAGGGTTCAGCAGCTGCAAGGAGGCAAGGGGATGGATTGCTGGTCTGAATGCAAGTTGAAAGATTCAGGGAGATGGCAGAACTGAAGACTCCTTGTCCAAGCATGGAGCCAGAGGAACCACTGTGTCACTACACACAATGGGTGCTGTGCACCATTACCTTCACAGGATTTCTGCCATCATTACATACAAACTAGGAGGCCTTGTAGATGAGCCGAAGCCTTCTTAACTTTTCTGGGATTGTTTAGCTGAGTCAAGCACTACCCTAAGATGTTAAATCTACAAAAATCTCTTCTCAGACAAATTTTTCTAAATCTCTTCTAACTTTTATTTCCCTCTCTGGACCTATTTCTATTATACTGTTTTCAATATGGGGTGAACAAAAAAGTGAAGAGTAGTCAAAGTGAGAGCATGACATTGGTTTATATAGCAGTATAGTATTTCCAGTATTGTTCTTTACCCCTTCCTTAATATCCTAACATTTGCTTTGTTATTGTCATGTACTATGAACCGCCCACAATGACAATCAGGTCCTTTTCCTCAGAGTTCATAGTTAAGTTCAATCAATATGTATTACTAGTTCAAATTGTTCCATCTAACATGCATTACATTGCATTTACCATCTCTGTTCTCTAATTGGCTGGATTTGGTAGGTCCCTGTGAAGTTCCTCAAATAGTGAATGATGGCCTTAGTAACAGATTAAAGAGTACAATGAAGAGAAAAAGCAGGTAGTCTGGAGAACACTGCAATTGGTTCTGGAAGAAGACTATCCTAAGCCAGTATGCTTTCTCCTACTGGGCTCAGAACAGAAATGCTCTTGCCACAGGAGGGACTTCTGGAGTAAAGGCATACTGTGTCTGCCCAGAGAGGTGACCCTGCACTTGGTCTCATAAAATAGCATCAAAAGTAGCTTTGAGGGGAAAAATTAAGAAACCAGAATAAACACTGATGTCTCTTTGTAAAATCTGCAGTACGATGACTTGAAAGGTTGCTTTAAGACTTTAGAGACCATATGCATTTTTAAACTTAATTAGATAGCACATTTTGGAAAGCAGGTGGGAGAGAGCCTTGGGGATTAGTTTAACAAATGTGTAGACAATTAGGACTTTAGGGTTGTCACTACTCTGATTATTGGAGCAACTCCATGGATGTCACAGTGACAGCAGGTTTAGAGGTGGTCAGAAGAAACATTCATATGAAACAATTTAGTCTGAAAACAATGTTTCAAAAAAACTAAAATTTCTCACAAAAGGCTTTTAGAGTCTGAGTCAGATTGCTGTGGGTCTGGGGTCTCCAGGTTTCTGGGGTCCATGCCTCTGAGACTGTCCTGCCACATGGATTCAGTTCCACATTAGAATACCAAATTTTTCAAAAATTCTCAAACTGGAAAACCCAACTTCTGGCCAGCTCTAAGTAGATGCCTTTATTTTTGGAGATGAAGTTTTTAAATATCATTCATGGAGGTTAGCTGACAATCATGGAGCACATGACTTTGTTACAAGTGGCATATCATTGAGTGGCTCCTTTCCTGGCAGCCCCTACTGGCCTTAGGTTGCTCTGCAGGTGGCCTTTCTTGCCTCAGTTTCCCCTTTCAAGGGGCAGCTTAAATAAATTGAAATCACCCTTTCATAACTCAAAGGTTAACAGCCCTCCTTCAGATTTGATTTTATTCATATGAAGTTCACAAATAAAACACAAGTCTTCCACCTCAGCCTTATGCTGGAAATAGCCGCTTCTCCCTGAGAGCTGTCTCTTTTTTTCTTGCTTAGCATGTACAGAAGACCCAAGGCCTGATCTTCTCCCCAGCCACAGCTCCCAAGCTTTTCAGCTGGAGTCTCCCTTTCTCAGGGCCACTGCAGGAGACTCTCCCTTCCTGCAGCTTCTTCTCTTTCTTTCCCTGAGGATTCCCCCAACCAACCCCCCACACAACTCCCTTCTACCCTTTATTGGAGGATTGAGGTGATTCCCCGATGAGGTGTCTCCCTTAAGTAATTAGGGTTGGCTGGCCCCAGGCAGCAAGCCCTTAAGAGGCATGCAACCATGTTACATTCAGCAAGGCAGTGTCTGAAGTAGAACTGGATCCCAGGCCATTTCCTAACTAATTGTACCAATGTACTTAGAAGGGAAATCAAATGTACAATTTTCTGATGTATTTAAATTAATTTACTCCATTTCTTTTTCCCCTTCAACATGTTAATCCAAAAGAAATTACGACAGATACTTTTCTGCTGTTTTTCCTTTTAAAAAAAAATCTTGCTTGCAGGTTTAAAAAAGTTATGTCCCATGCTATCTAAATGAAATGAACAACCACCAAATGCAAACTAGTCTGGTATTTTGAGAATTTGTATTTTTTAAACTATGAAATAAACATTCAGAACTCTCAAGAACTGCAGTGGTTAAGTCTGTAAATGAGACGGAAGCCTGCTCATTCATGGAATGTCTCAACACACACAGTTTATGTAGCCTATTCCATTTGTAGGATGCTGACATAACACAATTCACAGAATTTCCACACTCTGATCCAATTATAACAATCTCCAATTTTTAATTTTGTTTGAGACCTCTTGCTTGCTCACTCATTAGTTCCAGGAAAAGATATAAAATTGGTTTTCCACAAACCAAAACTGAAAGGCAGAAGAAAAGAACGTTGAATTGAACAACAATGTACACATTTAAACATAATAGTTTTTCAGAATACAGTTTTGGTCTGTACAATTTTGTTTTTCTAGCATTTGATCAGATTCCCAGTGTTTAAATTAGCTATGTAGAAATTGTATCAGTATATACCCACATTGAGAGCTGAGTTATCAATACATACATTCGTAGATTCCACACCCTGAAGGGACCACTGTGATCATCTAGTCCAGGGGGTTCTCAAACTGGGGGTCAGGATCCCTCAGGGGGTCGTGAGGTTATTACTTGGGGGGTCACGAGCTGAGTTATCAATACATACATTCGTAGATTCCACACCCTGAAGGGACCACTGTGATCATCTAGTCCTCAAACTGGGGGTCAGGATCCCTCTGGGGTCACAAGCTGTCAGCCTCCACCCCAAATCCCGCTTCACCTCCAGCATTT